CAAACCGAGCCCAGCAAGGCTAAACAAAACCAACACAGCTCCCCATCTAGAGCCAAACCAAGCTCAACCAAGAACCAAAGCCAAAGCCTGCCCTCAACTAGAGCTAATCCAAGTCCAGTAGAGGCCAAACAAAGTGCAGCAGGGCTAAAACACAAGAGCCCTTAAAGCCAGGAAGAGAGCTCTAACATCTCAATAAAAGCCAAGACTCAAGTTTCCACAGAAACCGACGTCCTATACTCCTGAAATGAAAACCGAGCACCAACAAAAGCCCAAAGCTGAGCCATTTAAAGCCCAAAACCGAGCCTAACGATATCAAAATCCAGACTCCCATAAATCATTAAAGATCCAACCATTTCACCCCAAAACCGTGACTTCAAATCAAGCCAAAACCAAGTTCAACAAGAACCAGAAACCAAATCCGAGTTCGACGAGAAACAAAAAGCCAAAATCGAGCTCAACGAAAACTCAAAAGCCAAAGTCAGAGCTCAACAAGATTAAAACAAGCCCAAGCATTGATATAGTCGAGCCATACAACATTAAAGCTCTACACATTTTAAGCCCGAGGAACAACCTGCATGTTCTAAACATTCTAAGCATGAAATTATTCCAACAAATATAAGAACAGAGGAGGCACTTCACGAGGAGCTAAACCCAGCCTTCAGAACAAGCTGTAACACTTTCCAGATTAAATAAGTTTTCTCATAGCATATATTTCAAGCCAGGGAAAGCCACAGGAAACCAAAATTGAGCCCCCAAACATGCATAAAACAGTAAAATGCACTCCCAAGTATTCATCTTAAGCAAGAATCAGTCATAAGATGCTAAAGCCGAAACCCCAACATGCTTGTAAGAGGAGCAAAAATCATTTCAAAGTCATGCCTTAACTCCCTAAATGTTTCCAACATAAACATGATATGATAAACAGAAAACGTGCCATATCTCCATCATTTTAAACAAATATTCAAATCTAAATCTTAAATCATGCTCACATTTCATCTTTCACATGCTCTTAAAGTGAATACCTAAAAAATGTATGAAAGTAAAGTGAACTAGCATGCCG